AAAGGAATTTTCCTAGTTATTTTAAACTCCTTTGTATTTCTCTGTGACTTGTGTCATTATTATTATTATTTAAATTTTAATATTTCACTTTAAATAGGTAAGAGAGCATATCAACCAGGAACTGATTCATATATTGGGGCTTCCCTGGGGGCTCAGTGGTAAAGAATCTGCTTGCCAGTGCAGAGGACATGGGAGACTCAGGTTCGATCCCTGGGTCGGGAAGATCCCCTGGAGTAGGAAGTGGCTAACTAAATCCAGTGTACTGAGGAACCCCGTGGACTACAGTCCATAGGGTTACAAAGAGTCAGATGCGACTGAACACATGCGCGTGTGCGCACGCATGCACACACAATTCATACATCAAGTGGGTAGATCACAGCATTTAATTACTTATGAACTGTTTGTCAGAGGGGTCGTGAATTTTACCATCTGCAAAGGTTTTTACCATGCTGGGATGAAAGATGAGCAAGATTAATGCATCATTAGGAAAAGGACAACCACAATTTGCATGTGCAAATTTGAAAGTACATCTAACACACCATTTCAAATTTTGTAAGAAGACATGTAAATGTTCCACGTCATGGCTACCACCAAAAAACAGAAATAGTTTAGATTTTCACTAATGCTTTTTATAGTCAATAATGTGTAGATAACATATTTTATCTGTTAATAGCATTCAGTCATCAGCTACATTCTAGGAGCGTTTTTGTTTTGATTTATTGCTGTGGTGGTTGTGAATACAATTAGCTCCCAAATTACTTTATCTCTAAAGCATGCCTATATTTCATGGTAAAACCACTTACTTCATTGTCCTTTTAATTCTCATGATCCAATCCATAAAAAAACTTTTTGTTTCTTTTAAATATCACTCAAATCAAATTTAATTTTCCCACCACCACCATGAACACCATTCAAATGCGAACCAATCATCCCTGGCTTCAAATAGTTCCATGCCCTCTTGCTCTACCTGTAGTTATTCTTCCTTCTCTCGTAGCAGCTCTCCATGCTAGAGATCTTTTTTTAATAAGACCTAGATATGCAGATGACACCACCCTTATGGCAGAAAGTGAAGAGGAACTAAAAAGCCTCTTGATGAAAGTGAAAGAGGAGAGTGAAAACATTGGCTTAAAGCTCAACATTGAGAAAACTAAGATCATGGCATCTGGTCCCATCACTTCATGGGAAATAGATGGGGAAGCAGTGGAAACAGTGTTAGACTTTATTTTTTGGGCTCCAAAATCACTGTAGATGGTAATTGCAGCCATGAAATTAAAAGATGCTTACTCCTTGGAAGGAAAGTTATGACCAACCTAGACAGCATATTAAAAAGCAGAGACATTACTTTGCCAACAAAGGTCCGTCTAGCCAAGGCTATGGTTTTTCCAGCGGTCATGTATGGATGTGAGATTGGACTGTGAAGGAAGCTGAGCACCAAAAAATTGATGCTTTTGAACTGTGGGTGTTGGAGAAGACTCTTGAGAGTCCCTTGAACTGCAAGGAGATCCAACCAGTCCATCTGAAAGGAGATCAGTCCTGGGTGTTCATTGGAAGGACTGATGCTGAAGCTGAAACTCCAATACTTTGGCCACCTCATTCGAAGAGTTGACTCACTGGAGAAGATCCTGATTCTGGGAGGGATTGGGGGCAGGAGGAGAAGGAGACGATAGAGGATGAGGTGGCTGGATGGCATCACCGACTCAATGGACATGAGTTTGAGTAAACTCCGGGAGCTGGCAATAGACAGGGAGGCCTGGCATGCTGCGGTTCATGGGGTCGCAAAGAGCCGGACACGACTGAGCAACTGAACTGAACTGAACTGAATCATGTCACTTTGAACTCTACAAACTTCATTGTCTTTCTATTGTCCTTAAAGCCTTAGCACAGCCTTCAAAATCCTGGTCATTCTAGCCCCTCGCCTACTCCAGTTCCTATTCCAGTCACTGCTTGGGATCCTTATCCAAACTCTCTTTCAGTCCCTGGTGCTCCTGATGTTTCCTGATGCTGCTTTCTCTGCCGGGAATATTCTTCCCAGGCATTTCTGCTAGTTACTTGTACCCACCCTTCAGAGCTCATCTGTCTCTTTCTCATGGAAGCCTAGCATAACTTCCTCAGCTAAATTAAATATGTTTTCTACAATCTCTCATAGCACCATCTGCATCTTTTTGTAGCCCTTACTACAAGGACCACTTTATGTTTGTGTGATTATTTGATTCTTCTGCTTCTCCCACTAGACTGTATACTCCATGAGGGCATCATTTGCTCAGCCTTAGAGCCCCAACTCCTAAACAGTGCCTGGCACATAGTTGCTCAATAAATATTTATTAATTCTGTTCTATTACTGCTTCATCTAGATTTACTATAAGCACAAAAGTAATAAACGTCTTAAAAAGCAAAATTCTAAAAAATGAAATTACCTTTCAGAAATAGTTTTATTAGTTTAATTATTAAATCTGATAAAAGAGAATTATATGAGATCAGAATCTATGTTATAAAAATTTTCACCAGCAATAACATTTTTACTAGCATATATCAATGTCACTCTTCTTTGAACTGTTACTATGAAATAATAATAAAAATAACAACAACAGAAAAAAATAACAGATGACATTTACTGAATGCTAACTATGTGCAGGCACTGTTAAGTGCTATATATGTATTATCTCAATTAAATCCTCATAATCCCTCAATATAGGTATTATTAAAGCCATTTTACTCATGAGAAAATTAAGGCTCACAGGAGTTAAGTCGACTTGCTCAGTCAGACAACTACTAAGTAGTAGAGGCCATATACCCAGTAGTCAGCCCAGATTTGTCTGACTTCTGATTCCCTTCCTCATTCTTTCCTTCCCTTTCTTTTTTTTTTTTTTTTAACAAATTCTACAAGGTTTATTCTAGAAAAGAAGGTTCAACAATAGAATCTCATAAATAAGCCTCCTTATTGAGTAAAAGAAAAATGTGAATATTAATAGTGCATTTGAGTTTCAAAATTGTTTAGTAATATAATTTAATTTAGTTGCTTCATTTATCAAACATTTTACCCACAGCTAGTATCATATTTGAGTTCCTCATTCTTTTCTAACCATGAGGATCAATACACTGAGATACTAGGACACCATAGGCCATGTTAGATCAGCTCTGACTTTGAGACTCAGCTCTGGCACTGACCAGCCATTTGATATCAGGCAAATTACATAACCATCTCACTCCCACTTCCAAACATCGTCTACAAGTATAAAATGGAAATAATTGCACCTATCTTGCTGGGATGCTGTAAAAATTAGGTACACTACACTGTATACAAAGTGCTTGACATATAATTGATATTCAACAAGTCACTTGATTATTACCTTATAGATGTCTTTATTTTTTTCCAATAATGTGTATTTGGCAACATTGTGCTTCAGATTGTCCTAGATGGTTTTCATTTCTATGATACAGAAGCACAGTCACCAGAGATATTTGTCTGAGCATGAGTCCTATTTGTTTTGGTTTAGAAAATAGGATCATTATACTCAAATACCGTTTAGCTAAGTGCTATGCCTATAAAGGATACCTAATAAATCCATGCTAAATAACTGAGTGATTATTGTACAGCAAATGTTTAAAGAATTCACAGGTAAACAGAATAATCTACTTAAAATGGATCAGAAAGAATAAGCAGAATTCACAAATTACCTCTGAGTTTTATCTCTGATTTATTAAGCTCTGAAAATATAGATCCAATTTAATTTTTATGATTTGATGCAACAATGAAAAAGCAACCCCATTGTTTGCACATTTCAGTCTATACTACCAATTAGTCAATAAGTTATGATTCATCATTCACATGAGCAAAATAAATGAGCAAATATAATGTCTGGTAAAATGATGCACAATGTTTAATCATGCTCATGTGATAGTCCAAAAATTTTTTTTATTTAACTGAAAGAAGTCCATATAATTCAAATTGTCCACAAAGTATTGAAAGTTAATTAAAGTATCTGGATGATAGCAAAAATATACAAGAGTCTTTCAACATAATCTGAAAACAATTCTGCTTTCAGAGCTAAGCAAATTTTTCCTCCGATTTCTCCCTCAAGGAGAAATCCAAATTAGGTACTATAGTTTAAAACGAGATTCATGAGGTCTGCAACTGAAACATATACTGAAAAAATATATATATACTGAAATATATATGTGAAACAAAATTATAGCTCAGTTTGTATCAATCAGCAATATTGATTTAGAACCAATAATTAGTGCTAAAGTTCCAATCATTTTCTTATTTTATTGACTTGCTAAGTAGGGAAAAAGTTCACATACACAAAAGTTAAATTCTACAGCAAATTCATTTTGAGTGTCTAACATTTCCAAAGTTTTATTCATCCTGATTTAATATTGATATGAATTAACATTATACATATTTTAAAGGATAAATGTATAATGCTATATTTAAACCTGTGTACTTTTATAAATGGTAATATTGTAGAAACCACAAGATTATGATTTTAATTATAATTATTATTAATTTTATATTTTTAATATAATGAATAATCATTAATTTCCATGACATTTCTATGGATATGACCACATTTTATTCCTATTTTATGAAAGATTAATATAAGACTGTATATAGGGGTATATCTAATAGCAACAAAGCCAGAAAAAAGATAAGTTTCTGCTATTGATTTTGGGATCAGTTTCCTAATTCTCATTTCAAATCTGGATGTTCCCAAAAAAAAAAGAATTCCCACATGGAAGACATAATTAAATCTAAGCAAATAACCTCTTAATAAAGAAATATTTTATATTTAAAGAATACAGGCTTTCCAAACATACAGTACTCGTCAATTAATTTGGTTAGGAACAAGACCCCTCTTAGAGATAAGCTAATTAATCTGTTTCCCAGGTGGGATCTGAAAGCCATAGGGAGATACCTTCCCCAAACCGCTGTCACAGATTCCCAAGGCAGCTGTCAGCCATTAACATGTTAGTTTTGAATTATTTTATCAGTTACTAACCTGAGGAAGACTTGCAGGAAACAGGAGCTCAGTGCCGAAAGGGAAAGAAAGGACAGCTGCCAAGCTAATGAGTCTGCAATGGTGACAGTAGGCAGTCTGGAGAGCAGCGGCAGAACACAAGTCCCTGAAAGGGTGGAGAATGCAGAAAGATGCCACAGAAAAGGAGTCAAGGATTCATGAGAAAAACTTCACCTCGTTCCCAATTTTTCAAACAAGCTGGAGTATTAGACAGTTGATTCCAAACAGTATTCAAAATAGTCAAATCATATATACTAAATGCAGTTACAGATAACGAAAGTTCTAAACAGCCAAGAAATAATTACCTTTTTTTTTGGTGTTGGAAAGTTACAGGCCGAATTTCATATTGCTGTGAATGTATTCTATTTATTCTACTGGTTTTTTCCTCCCAGCAGTTAAAAACCAGTAACCTACAGGATAACAGTAGTATAATCTCAACATTCTATTAAAGTTGCCCATAATCAGCAACTGAGCCAGTCCTGAAGTGGGAAAGGTGACTTATTGACAATTATAGTGAAGTAAAGATATACAAGTGTTTTCAATCTCTTTTATTAGGAAAGCTGAGATTACTTAACATTTATTAGAGAAGAACATGCTTACTCTCCTTTCTCAGTTATTCTTTGTACACAATTTTGATTATATGCCTATAATCAGGTGTTGAGCTCAAAATATAAAGATACAGATAATATAGGGCTTCCCTGGTGGCTTGGTGGTAAAGAATCCGCCTGCCAGTTCAGGAGACATGGGTTTGATCCCTGATCTAGGGGGATCCCACATGCTGCGGAGCACCTGAGCCCAGGCGCCCTAACTACTGAGCCCTGGGGCTGCAGCTGCTGAAGCCCGTGTGCCCTAGAGCCTGTGCCCCACAACGGAGGGCCCGCTGCCGTGAGATGTCCGTGCACCACAATTAGAGCGTGACCCCTGCTCTCTGCATATTCTTACTCTCTTTTCTCAGTTATTCTTTGTACACAATTTTGATATATGGCTATAATCAGGTGTTGCGCTCAAAATATAAAGATACAGCTAATATAGGTCTTCCCTGGTAGCTCAGCTGGTAAAGAATCCACCTGCAATGCTGGAGACCCTGGTTTGAATCCTGGGTCAGAAAGTTCCCCTGGAGAAGGGATAGGCTACCCACTCCAGTATTCTTGGCCTTCCCTGGTGGCTCAGAAAATAAAGAATTTGCCTGCAATGTGGGAGACATTGAACTGAACTGTGGGTTCAGTTTCTGGGTTGGGAAGATCCCCTGAAGGAGGGCATGGACAGAGGAGCCTGGCGGGCTATACAGTTCATGGGGTCGCAAAGAGTCGGACACGACAGAGAGACTTAGCATGTGCTCTCTGCAACTAGAGCAAAGCTTCTGCAGCAACGAAGACCCAGCACAGCCAAAAAATTTAAAAAATAAAACAATTTTTTAAAAAAGATATAGATAGTATAGATAAAATATTGGAGGGAGGGTATATGCCCATATTTTCATCTGTTTCAGATACCTGCAGGGATGCCAAAGACAGATAAGAAAGCATGCATTTAAATAGGCCCTCGGGGCACTGTTGAGCCCATATACCCTCCTCCAAAAATAGAGAAGAGGCCCTAGAAAAGGACCATTTCCCCACCCTTCTTTTTTTCACATGTTCCTGAAGGAAAGCAGAATGTTTTATAAAAACAAAACAAAATAAAAAACCAAAACCCACGACCACAGACACAATGCTGTTCCTGCTTAGGTGCTTCAGTCGTGTCCAACTCTGTGCAACCCCATGGACTGCAGCCCACCAGGCTCCTCTGTACATGGGATTCTCCAGGCAAGAGTACTAGAGCGAGTTGCCGTGCCCTCCTCCAGGGGATCTTCCCAATCCAGGGATCAAACCTGGGTCTCCTGCATTGCAGGCGGATTCTTTACCACTGAGCTACCAGAGAAGCCCCAGACACACAATAGGGATGGAATTAACAAGAGACGAAATTGCTTAGTCAGCAGCTTCCAAGCACCATTTCAAATCTGAGTCTTCGCTATCCCCTTGATAACACGAAGGCAGGCAGGAAGGTACCTTTCCTTTCTAGTGTAGCAAAGAACAACAGCATATAAGAGAGCAGTTTGTGTGATGGTTTCTCACTTCAGGTTCTTCCCTGAAGTCAGGCAGGCTTGGGTTTGAATTCTAACTCTGGGATTTTAATAGCTGCAACTAAACAATGTGTCTGTGTTTATTTCCTGATCCTGTGCCTACTTCCTGATCAGTAATGGGAGTTAGTGCCTTCCTCAGAGGGTTGTTCTAAGGATCAAATAAAATGGGCTCCAGGCATGGAGTAAATATCAGCCTTTCAGTCACCATAATTAACTCTCTCCCATTTTACTATTCTGAAGTTGGGAAAGACAGATTTTTGAGACAGATCATAAAATATGTTACAAGTGACTTGTTGATCAATATTTGCTGAGCCAAGTCTGCCTTTAGCACTCTAATTGTAAGCCCAAAATAGCAAAGATGTTAAATTTCTCTCTTGATAATAAGATTCTCTTTATTTTTCACCTGCAGATTCTCTTCAGGAGGTTGTGAAAAGAAATATTTCAAACAGAAATAGGCCTACTGCTTGAGGGAATGATATGATTGTAAGTTGAAAAAAAGAGACTTGAGCTCAGTCAGTTCAGTTCAGTTCAGTCGCTCAGTCGTGTCTGACTCTTTGCAACCCCATGGACTGCAGCACACCAGGCCTCCCTGTCCATCACCAGCTCTCAGAGTTTGCTCAAACTCATGTCCATTGAATTGGTGATTCCACCCAACCATCTCAGCTTCTGTCGTCCCCTTCTCCTCCTGCCTTCAATCTTTCCCAGCATCAAGGTCTTTTCTAATGAGTTGGTTCTTCTCATCAGGTGGCCTAAGTATTGGAGCTTCAGCATCAGTCCTTCCAATGAATATTCAGGACTGATTTCCTTTAGGATGGACTGGTTTGATCTCTTTGTTGTCCAAGGGACTCTCAAGAGTCTTCTCCAACACCACAGTTGAAAAGTATCAATTCTTTAACAAAAAACAAAAAAAAGAAAAGCATCAATTCTTCGGTGCTCAGCTTTCTTTCTAGTCCAATTCTCACATTCATACATGACTACTGGAAAAACCATAGCTTTGACTAGACAAACATTTGTGGGCAAAAAAATGTCTCTGCTTTTTAATATGTTGTTTAGGGTGATCATAGCTTTTCTTCCAAGGAGCAAGCATCTTTTAATTTCATGGTTGCAGTCACTATCTGCAGTGAGTTGGAGCCCCCCAAAATAAAGTCTGTCACTGTTTCCATTGTTTCCCCATCTATTTACCATGAAGTGATAGGACCAGATGCTATGATCTTAGTTTTCTGAATGTTGAGTTGTAAGCCAACTTTTCACTCTCCTCTTTCACTTTCAACATGAGACTCTTTAGTTCTTCTTCACTTTTTGCCATAAGGGTGGTGTCATCTGCATATTTGAGGTTATTGATATTTTTTCTCCCAGAAATCTTGATTTCGGCTTATGCTTCATCCAATCTAGCATTTCTCATGATGTACTCTGCATATAAGTTAAGTAAGCAGGGTGACAGTATGCAACCTTCATGTACTCCTTTCCCAATTTGGAACCAATCTGTTGTTCCATGTCCAGTTCTAACTGTTGCTTCTTGACCTGCATACAGATTTCTTAAGAGGCAGGTCAAGTGGTCTACTGTTCCCATCTCTTTAAGAATTTTCCAGTTTGTTGTGATCCACACAGTCAAAGGCTTTGAAGTAGTCAATAAAGCAGAAGTAGATGTTTTTCTGGAACTCTCTTGCTTTCTCATTGATTCAGTGGAATCTGCCAATTTGATCTCTGGTTCCTCTGCCTTTTCTAAATCCAGCCTGAACATCTGGAAGTTCATGGTTCACATACTGTTGAAGCCTGACTTGGAGAATTTGGAGCATTACTTTGCTAGCATGTGAGATGAGTGCAATTGTGCAGTAGCATGAGTATTCTTTGGCATTGCCTTTCTTTGGCACTGGAATGAAAACTGATCTTATCTAGTCCTGTGGCCACTGCTGAGTTTTCCAAATTTGCTGGCATATTGAGTGCAGCACTTTCATAGCATCATCTTTTAGGATTTGAAATAGCTCAACTGGAATTCCATCATCTCCACTAGCTTTGTTCATAGTGATGCTTCCTATCATATTGAGTGCAGCACTTTCACAGCATCATCTTCAAGGATTTGAAATACCTCAACTGGAATTCCATCATCTCCACTAGCTTTGTTCATAGTGATGCTTCCTAAGGCCCACTTGACTTCACATCCCAGGATGTCTGGCTCTAGGTGAGTGATCACACCATCATGGTTATCTGGGTCATGAGGATCTTTTTTGTATAGTTCTTCTGTGTATTCTTGCCACCTCTTCTTAATATCTTCTGCTTCTGTTAGGTCCATAGCCTTTCTGTCCTTTATTGTGCCCATCTTTGCATGAAATGTTCCCTTGGTATCTCTAATTTTCTTGAAGAGATCTCTAGTGTTTCCCATCCTATTGTTTTCCCCTATTTCTTTGCATTGATCACTGAGGGAGGCTTTCTTATCTCTCCTTGCTATTCTTTGAAACTCTGCATTCAAATGGATATATCTTTCCTTTTCTCCTTTGCCTTTCGCTTCTCTTCTTTCCTCAGCTATTTGTAAGGCCTCCTCTGACAACCATTTTGCCTTTTTGCATTTCTTTTTCTTGGGGATGGTCTTGATCACTGCCTCTGTCCATAGTTCTTCAGGCACTCTGTCTATCAGATCTAATTCCTTGAATCTATTTGTCACTTCCACTGTATAATCGTAAGGGATTTGATTCAGGTCATACATGAATGGTCTAGTGGTTTTCCCTACTTTCTTCAATTTAAGTCTGAATTTTGCAATAAGGAGCCATGATTTGAGCCACAGTCAGCTGCCAGTCTTGTTTTTGCTGACTGTATAGAGCTTCTCCATCTTCGGCTGCAAATAATGTAACCAATTCGATTTCAGTATTGACCATCTGGTGATGTCCATGTATAGAGTTATCTCTTGTGTTGTTGGAAGGGGGAGTTGACCTATGCGTTCCCTTGGTAAAACTCTGTTAGCCTTTGTCCTGCTTTATTTTGTATGTCAGGGTCAAATTTGCCTATTACTCCAGGTATCTCTTGACTTCTTTTGCATTCCAGTCCCCTATGATGAAAAGGACATTTTTTGGGGGTGTTAGTTCTAGAAGTCTTGTAGGTCTTCATAGAACCGTTCAACTTCAGCTTCTTCAGCATTACTGGTTGGCAGAGATTTGGATTACTGTGATACTGAATGATTTGCCTTGGAAACAAACAGAGATCATTCTGTCATTTTTGAGATTGCAATCAAGTACTGTATTTCGAACTCTTTTGTTGACTTTCAGGGCTACTCCATTTCTTCTAAGGGATTCTTGCCCACAGTAGTATATATAATGGTCATCTGAATTAAATTCACC